GAGGTTTATTCAGAGAATATTACAAAAGAAATATTAATTACATACTCGAAGTGCACCTTTAATTTTCAGTTCACAAATGATGTCACCACAACTAATTTACATTGCCTGATGTTTTTTGTTTGGTTTTTTTTTCATAAAACCCACACAATCAGGGTTTTAAAATAAGTAAATATGAGAAAACTATCATGTGTTTAAGCTGCCTAGTCAAAGAGATTTAAAAATTACATATCGCCCAGCCGGGCGTCGCTCAGCGGTTGAGCGACGACCTAGGATTCAGGTGATCAGGGTTCGATTCCTGGTCAGGGTACATGCCTGGGTTGCGGGCTGCAGCCGATCAATGACTCTCTCATCATTGATGTTTCTGTCTGTCTCTCTCTCCCTTTCCCTTCCTCTCTCTGAAATCAATAAAGATATAAATAAATAAATAAATAAATAAATAAATAAATAAATAAATAAATAAATAAATATTTGGGTAACCAGTTCTCTGCAGCACAACTTCAAGGAGTTTATCGAAGGACAGATAACCATTCTGATTTCTAACACCTCCTCTGAAACTAGATAGAGAGCCTGGAGATCAGAAAGGAGCGAGACAGCAAATGTACAAAATGCAGTATCAAAACAAATGATTTATATGAATACAGAGCAAACTCATTAAACATTCACAGATTAAGCAATGATTCCAACAATCAGGATAGTGTGTGTTTTTTTAAATTCAAACTAATAATTATCAAAAGCACTAAAAATACTCACTCTAAGAGAGATCGCCTTACAACAAAAATCTTTCCATGTTCTGGAGGTGCTCTTAGATCTCTGTGAAGAGCAAAAATTAAAACAAAATGTAAGTACTTCAAGTATTATAAGAAATTTAAACTTAAGAATAAGAGGAAGAATATTACCAACTATAGCAGGTAAAATTAACTAACTGCCATCTCACTGTGATCCAGATACTATGATTAGGATTTTATGCATGTTGGCTCATTACTCCTTCTGAACAATGCTTTGAGGCAGGTATACACCTATCTGGTTAGGGAGGAAAAGGTGTTAGGAACACTCAATTAAGTGCTAGTTCCTGACATCACAGACAACCACTCTTCCTTCTCCTAAGCATCCTTAAGGTCATAGATAGGTCCCCAGCCATACGTACTCCGATTCACATCCTGTTACTGGTCTGTTCTTGAAAATGCACTGACTAATGTCAAAGGACTTCTGAAAATCCCCAACAGCCTCCTGATCTTAAAGGTTGCTTCCAGTTACTAACATCTGTTAACATCTACCATGATCATCTTCTTTTGGGCTTTGGGCAGTACTGTCAGCACTTCCTTTGACTATTCCTTGGTTAAAACTGTCCTCCAGAACAGGAGAAACTGACAGAGACCACAAAGGCATAAAACCAAGGAAAGCACAGAATGGCAAATTAACATACAGTGGCCTTTGATAGCCTTCCCTCCATGCTCTGGATGACTGACCTATTAGAAAAATAGATACTAATGCACTGTTCTTTATAACAAGTATTGTGGAGAGTACAACAGAGAGGCAGAATAATGATGTGACGAAGAGCATGGACTCTGGGTTCAAGTCCTGCTGTGGAATCCTGGACGTTTAACTGCTCTGTGCTTCAGTTTCCTAAACTGTACTACGCAGACAGTTATACTACGTACCACACAGGGTCAGTTTGGTTTAAATGAAAAGCACTCAAGTGTCAGCACAGTCTTAAATGAAGTATACACATTTGTTATAATCCACATATTAAGATAGAGGAACCCACCCTTCCAGTGGTTAAATAATATGTCCAAAGCAACACACAGCTAATGAAAAGTAGTGCCAGGGGCTGAACCTGAGCATTTTACTGCAGTCCACATTTTGACAGCTGGCTACACTAGAGTAGATGCCTGCATTAAAAGAATCTAATCCTCATACTTACTTAGCTCTATGGTTGTTCTTTCCTCCAAGAACAGAAAAGGATGTGAGAGTATGCCCACCGCTTTCTAATGATACTGATCTTTCAATGAAATTGGTCACAAAATCATCAAAGTGAGTGCCAACTTCCTTCATAAAAAATGGCTTCAATTCCTAGAATTTTAAAACAAATAAAGGAAAAAATAAGAACACATGCTTATGGGTTACTAGCATTTTTCTAAAGGGTTCTCTTAAATAGAGCTGGATTAAAGAAATCCATTTTAAGTGAGTTCACAGGAGTAAAAACAAAAATAATTTCTATAGCTGACCTGTAGTTTCAGAAATGGCCACTAAAAAGCAACATAATTTATGTCTTTTAAAAAATTTATACAGTTTTAAGCATATCAAAGTAATCACCTACTAAATGAACTACAGATAATATATAAAACCAAAATAACAAATGATAAAAATGACAGTCTATTTTTTCCTCTTCAAATTTTTATCTGGAAAACAACAATAAATAAAAATCAGTATTACATAATTTTAAGTCCCTTTTCTTCTCAAGCAATCCCTTCACCCAAGTACCCACTGTTTATATTTTAGATCATGTCATTTCTGTATATTACCAACATTTATATAATATTTATTCCTAACTCCATAGCTATGTTTATCTTACCCTAACTCATATTTTCATAACATAAAATTGTTACACATTTTGGTCCCAGACTATTTTTTTTTAAAATATACCTTTACTGATTTCAGAGAGAGGAAGGGAGAGGGAAAGAGAGAGAGAAACATCAATGATGAGAGAGTCACTGATCGCCTGCCTTCTGCACGCCCCCTACTGGGGATCAAGCACACAACCCAGGCATGTGCCCTGACCCAAAATCGAACCATGATCTCCTGGATCCTAGGTTGATGCTCAGCCTCTGAGTCACACCCAACCGGGCGGTCCCAGACTATTTTTAACATCCAGTTTTTGAAAAGTATGATTATAATAGGCCACCTACTCTGGATGCTCAAATTATAAATATCGGTATTTTTAAACTGGCAGGACCTAGCTACCTAAAAGAAAACAAAGTATTACTAATTCTTTAATGAAATGGGGGTGGGGGGGAAATGCTCTTTCTTTTAATAATTATTTAGGCTAAACCTAAAATCTCTGAAGGAGGTTTTTCTAGGTTCTGTTATAAGAGTCTCACCATGTCCTTTCTTTCCAGTGTACCTTAGGGAACTACATATGAAGGCTTTTCAAATTGCTCTGTCTCCCACAGTTCCCAAATGCCTTTTCGGGCCTGAGCAGTAAGAATACACTAAGATATCGCCTTTCACAAGACAGCTGATGGAGATGGGAAATACAACACAAGAAGAGGGTGGCCAGAGCAATATAACCATCAATGAAGACTCAAAGAACATATAATAGTTTAGCAAACAAAGAAACAAGAATGAGATGATTGGCAATGTCTTTTTAAGCTTGGAGTTGAGCTGAAACCTTGAAAAAGTAATAAGACTTAATTTTACATGAAAAGTGGCAGAAGACAATGGGATAAAAAGCAGAGATACAGAAAAATGTAAGTCAAAACAGAATATGTAAATGATGTAGGCTGGTTTTAAGGACAAAATATAGAAGTATGTTCCCTGAAAGAAAAAAGTTTTTATAAAATTATTTTTTCATATTAAGGTTATCTAATAGTACTTTATTTTAGCTCCTTTTGCTTGCTCCATTTCAATTATATATCCATCCTCATTTTGAAATTTTTCATTAGTATGTTTTCCTAACCAAAAACAAAATAACCCCCCTCCCAAAACGACATGAAGAAAAAAGGTTCTTTTCTCACTTAATCTCTAGAATTGGACTGATTAACAAACAAAGGGTTTTTTCCCCAGCTACAAAAATGTTGTCCCATGTAGAAATATACTAAAAAAGAAGGGAAAGAATTCATTCATTCCACTAAGTGCTGGGTACTGGGTACTGTTCTGGGCACAGGAGATACAACAGTAAACAAAATCTAGTCCCTGTGCACCTGGTACTTACAGGACATGTAGTATGCCAGATGGTGTTATGCAAAGAAATAAAGCAGAGGGATGTGGTGGAGGGGTGTTATTTTTCATAAAGACGGCAGAGAAAGCCTAAAGAGTAGATAACATTTGAGAAGATGTGAAGCTAAGTTAAATGGGCAGAAGTTAGTGGATATCTGTAGAAAAGTACTAGGAAGAGCCCTGGCCAGTGTGGCTTAGTTGGTTGGGCATTGTCCTGTGCACTAAAAGGTTGCTGGTTGGATTCCCAGTCAGGGCACATGCCTGGGCTGCAGAGGCTTGATCCCCCGTAGGAGGGTGTAAAGGAGGCAGGAAATGGATGTTATGCTCTCACACTGATGTTTCTCTCTCTCTCGCCCCCTCTCTCTTCTCTCTGAAAATCAATAAACTATTTTTTTTAAAGTACTAGGAAGAAAGATCCATGAATGTTCAAAGCTCTGAAGCAGGAACACCCCCGGCATGTTTCATAAATAGCAAGAAGCAAGACTTCATAGCTAAAGCAAAAGAGCAACAAGAAGTAAGGTCAGGAAAGAAGGGGGGATGGCAGGAGGGGGTCTAAACCATGTAAGGTCTTAACACTTTACCCCTTACTCATATCAATCAGCCCATTGATATTTTACTCAACTTTACCCCTTACTGATATCAATCAGCCCATTGATAATTTACTCAACTATACCCCTTACTCATATCAATTAGCCCATTGATATTTTACTCTACAGTAAAAAAAGAAGCCTGGAATCTTGAGATGTGGCAAAGAAAGGCAAGCTATTTCTTTCAGCACGATTCCTCATGCTTTGGAACTAGTCTCCTTTCCAATTTAAGTATTGGGTTAAGTAGACCAGAAGCATAAAAAACACCATAATGAATGTTCTATAAATGTCAGTAAAAGCTGCTAAAATCAGATCCTAATCCACCCAACTCAAGCTGAATGGAGTAGTCAACTCCTTATGGCACAAAGTCTTGTGCCTTATTTACTAGTTGCCGAGAGAGGAGCCTTTACCTTACGTTCCAAAGCACTTGAAACTTTTAGTCATGTAGTAAGAAACCCTACAGCAATCGCCTTACCCTCATCCTTGTCAATTGTACCCTTTTCTTTTCTCCTTCCTCCTAGTCCTTTCATGTCCCCTCATTCTCTAGAACTCCTGCCTTTTCTTCTTTTACAGTCATCCCATAAATGAGGGTATCCCTTGTTATCTCAACTCGCTATCTCATCTCAGGGACCAGAGAGATTTGGATGAGGAGTGCTTCTAGTATTCAGCACCTGCGGTGCTGAGTGAGCTACACACGCCCGCGCTTACAGAGCCGTGTATCAATGAAGAATGACGTACACTGTTAATGGTGCAGTGAATGCCACACAGAACAGTTCTAAGTGAGAGAACCAAATAAAAAGCAAAAAATTAAACCACAGACATCTCAGTAGCATGAGGGCAAGTAAAAGGTGGTTACTGGTGTTAAGTCTCCTTATAACTTTCTTTCACAATCTCCCTCCCCCAACTCTGACTCCAACCTCGGACACCTCACACAGTGCAGAATGCTGCTTGGGTATGCTGAGCTAAAAAGGATCCTCTTTTAATATTAACTCACAGCTTTTATTCCTGCAGTAAAATTTATATGTAAGTGGCACATAAATCCATACTTGAGCTAGTACAATACTAAGGCAAAAGATGTTTTTAGTGCTAATTATAAAGTAGTAAAAGAAATGTAAGCTTTCAGCCAGGCAGACCAGGTTTCAAATTCTACCTCCACCACTGCATGTGGCCTCAGGCAAGCCATTTCACTTTCCTGAACAAAACTGAGATGAATAACATCTAACTTGCTGAACTGGTATGTGAACTTTTTAAAAGCCCAAAACAAAAACTCTGCAAAAATGCACAGCATGGTATTTGGCATAGTTGTCACTCTATAGATATTTGTAGCTCCAACCCTTCCCACTCAGTTGGAGCTAACCTCTGATGATAGAAACAAAACAATGCATGATAAAAACTTGTTAAGCCAATTCTGTCGTTTAGTGCTATTTCTATTAAAAGGTGGCTACTTAAATCCACCACGTTCCTATGCAGAGCATTACACTCATTAGGTGCCTAATGCTCATTTTTTAATGCCTTTCTTCTTTGAGGAATTTAAGTTGATAGAAACTGCTGCTAGTGGGAGACAAAGAAGAACACCACTGTGACACTTTGAAGTTTCCTTAGCCTCCTCCTTTCATATATTCAAATGCTGATGAAAATAAAGAGGGAATATTGAAAAACACAGTACAAGAAACACTCCACTCTGTCTTCTTCTGAGTCCTCTGATAACATGAAACTGGCCTCGATTAGAACATCAAACCATGATCATAGTCAATCTGAGTAATGTCTAATATCAGTAACCTGAAAAGGAGGCTGAAAGGTGAGAGGCTTTCTACTTTGCTTATCTCCCCAATCTCATCTCTATTAATATTAATTTCACCCAGCCCATGGACTGTCCCAGCATAACGACAGATGGACAGAAGGACAACTGAAGAAAGATAGCAGGCCCTTAACTAGAAGCTAGAAAAGCAGATGAGTAGGTAATCTATGAAACAGAATCACTGGATTTTAGAGTTCAAAGAAACCTCATTTTTAAAAATAAGCAGCTGAGGTAGGTAGCCTTTAAGATTCTAAGAATGGGGAAAACCACTATGAAGCAAATATCCTCTAGCTGAAACACACAGTGAAGGCACGAACCACGAGTAACTGGACATGAACCTAGACAAACAGGGTCTAGGGACTAGATCATGAAGGACCTTTTAAATCAATATCCTAAGGGCACTGGAAACCAATGTTTTAAGCACAAGGTTTATAAACATGTTCAGACTTGCATTCTAAAAGGGTTCCAAGCAGAGGTTATTTTGGAATGAATCTTAAAATGAGAAAAGAGCAGGGTAATTTATGAAGAGATAAAAATAACCCTTTCAAAGGCACAGAGGCATAAAAAAATAAAAATAAAAAGTAGGCTCAGAGAAAGAAATACACAGTAAAAATATATACTCTGGCCCTGGCCAGGTGGCTCAGTTGGTTGGAGCATCATTCTATACACCAAAAAGGTTGCAGGTTCAATTTCCGGTCAGGGCACACACCTAGGTTGCAAGTTCAATCCCTGATCTGTGTGCGTATGGGGGCAGCTGAAACACTGATGTTTCTCTCTCTCCCTTCCTCCTCTAAAATCAAATAAAAAAGAAATAGACTAGCACTATCTAAAAACGTTTTTAGAAGAGGTTCCTTGAACAAGTGACAAACTGTGAAGGGAAGTCCTCATTTGCAGACATGCCATCTGTGTCTTACTCATTACAGTTTCCTCATTTAATGGCTGGGCAATAGCATGAAGTATAGATGTGAAACACAGCAGTACCTGAAATGCTATATAAGAAGCAAATGAGATATGTTGCAACAATATGTATTTTTAAGTAGAAATAGAAAGTAATTTTTCATCTGTTCAATTTTCACAAGATACCTAACATTTCCTCTATAATATTGTGTACATTAATAAAAGTTCTACAAATATTGATAGTAAAAACACTTCCTTTTCTCTTCTCACATTCACTTTTCTCTGGAAACTGTGCTCAAAGGTGAGGATAGGCACCCAGTGTTCAGGCCAGGGTTGTACTACATGGGTCCTGCCCTTCTCACCAAAATCCAATTCTCTCTCTCATAAATCTGAAACTCTGAGCTTAGAGAGAGTGACTGGAAATCTCATTAACTGAAAAATTCAGGAATATCTGAACCCTTGCTATTAAAATCCTTTCCTGTTCCAAAGCCTGAGTGTCCTACTTCTCCCAGGATTCTATGAGATACATTAATATCAAATATCAAATATACTTATTAAACAAGCCAAAGTAAGTTTCTGTTATTCACAATCAAAAGGAAAAACTGAAATAATACAATGTTAAAACAAAGCTAATTTACCTATTAATATAAGTTGTTTGGGACTTAATCATTTGAATCTCCCTTGGACTGTTCCCAAGGTCTGGTAAGTCTTGTTACAACACAATTCTAAGGATTTCACAAGGTCATGGCTCAGGGTTACACAATGTTGTATAACCCCACTAGCACCAGATTTTTTTTTAAATAAAGTACTTAAAACTTCTTAGTGAAAGTATTTAGACACAGAAGTGCTCTTAAGAGATTCAATCAGTTCAACTGACTAATTTCAACCCATTAATGTCATCACCTCTCTCATTCCTCTTCCCTTCAGTCAGTACTTGACAATCTTTTTCCCTGCTTTCCTTACTATAAGCCCCTCTAACTATATATCTAAGTTTTCAGAGTTCTTTGTAGGTTGCCAGTTTTAGTAAATACAAATATAGGAACACCCAGTTAAATCTGATGAACCAAATAACCTTTTTAGTCTGTCTTGAGCAATGCATGACGACTAAAAAACTATTTGTTGTTTATCTGAAATTCAAATTTAACTAGGCATACTGTATTTTATCTAACAACACTAGGCCTGTGGAGCCAAAAGAGCTGCCCAATAAGATCTATAGAAATAGTGAAGTAGGAGCTGAAGTTTAAGTCAGCTACACAATTATGACACAGAATGTTATTTCTGAAGGGGAACTTGGAAACAGCTAGTCCAATATTCTCACTTTAGAGATTAGGGGGAAATTGTCTAATACAGATGAGTGACAACTGGGTTGCCAGGAAACCAACCACGTGATTAGAGGTTTGGAACTTTCAGTCCCATCCCTACCTCCATAAAAACCCAGCAGGACACCTTGTTAGCCGTACATGTTGGGGAACCAGAATGCGTCCACCTGCCAGGCCCTAAGGACATATACTCCTTTGTTCAGGACCTCGCCCTATATAACTTTTCATCTGGATGTTGATTCGTATCCTTCGTAATGAATTGGTAATCTAATAGTAAACAGGTTTTCCTGAGTTCTGTGAGTTAGAAGTACAGGTGACAACCTGGACTTGTGACTGGCATTCTGAGTTGTAGGGGACCGCTGGAGCCTCCAACCTATAGCCAGATGTCAAAAGCACAAATAACCTGAACTTACTTCCAGCATCTGACAGGGAGGGCAGTCTTGTGAGACAGCCCTTTACGTGCGGAATCTGATTTTCACCTCCAGGTAGACAGTGTCAGAATTTAGTTGAATTTTTGGGACACCTCGCTGGCATCCAAGAATTGCTTGTTGGTGTGGAAGGAACCCACGCTCCCATGTTAGAATTGGGTCCAAGAACCCCATATAAATATGATGCTAAAAATAAAAATATCTAAATTTGTTATTCTAAATAAATGCATATGTGCATGCATGCACATGTAACTAAATTAATAGATAAAAACAGGGCTATTTCATCTACAACATTAGATATTTAGATACCCATGTTGGCCAATAAACTCTGGAAGTAATCGTCTCAGAAAAAAGGGAGGCTGCCTTGGATTTGAAGCCAACTTATGCTCAAGCACACGTGGTGTTAAACATTTTTAAAAATTGTTCTTTGTCCTCCAGAATTTCCTGAGGCCCTGCTCAATTCTGACTTGCAGAACTGTCTACCTGGCTTGAAATGGCTCCACGCTGCTTCTTAGTTGATATTTCCTCTGCATCCTTAACAGGGAATCTGCTTCTGGATTCAGACTGAACGTTTACTGGAGGCCTATGATTTCTATGAAACTTGCTATTTTCACAAAGTACCTACACAGGCATTCATATAGAAATTCAACTGTAATATGCTTCACTAAAACCAAGTTTCCCTGGTAAAAGTCAGAAAAGTGACAGTGACAAATGGGATAGAAGAGAAAAGGGCAACCTGGTTCCTATGTGGGATGATAAGGGGCAGACCTTATGTTCCACAGAAAGCCAATGTCAACTGATAAAAAAGGGAAATAATTCTTTAAGCACTTTAGCATTAAAAATTTACTGAACAAAACTCTTTACCCTAACACTCTACATTTTTGTTTCTGGAAGAGGGAGTTACTTACCTCTGCCTCTGCTGTCAACTGTTTCTTCTTTGCTATCAACTCTTTCATGTCAACCCGGCCTAAGGAAAAAATATATATATAACTTTTAAGTTGATGGATATCAACACTATTTAAGTCATGAAGCTGAAAAACAAGCAAACAGAAAAGAACATAAACTACAGCACAACCACAAACACGGCAGCTCTTGAATGAAGCAGGGGTAATATAAACAAGAAGGAAATTTATACATAAAAGTGCTAAGTAGGAAAGCAAAACTACTATATGTACACACAGTAATTACAACTATATTAAGCGTATGATGCGATAAGATACAATTCTGACAGCATGGGAAATTAGATTCTCTAAATGGACCTTGCAACTGTGACTAATAAAATGCACAAGCAACATTTAAAAAATAGATAAATTGGACTTCAAAATTTAAAAAGACAAGCCACGGAAGGGGGGGGTAGAATTTGCAAATCTAATCAGGATCTTGTAGCCATACTATATAAAAAGAATTCTTACAACTCCATAATAAAGACAAATAATCCAATTTAAATATAGGCAAAGTATCTGAAGAGACATTTTTCCAAGAAAGATATACAAATGGCCAATACCACATGAAAAGATGCTCAACATCACTGGTCATGAGGGAAATGCAAATCAAAACTACAATGAAATATCACTTCCTATGCATTAGAATGGCTTAATAAAAAACATATAACAAGTTATAGTAGTATAGCTTTGTAATATTTAAGTTGATTAATTGAGGCATTAATAAATAAATCAATTATTAATCTGACTTGAGGATTTTTCATGATTTAAAAAAACATTTAAAAACTATTAAAATGTTTGTTTTTATGAAAATTTGCTCTGTATGACTCCCATATAAACTGAATATTGTGATTTATTACTCACATATTTATAGACAGTTTCTTATTTTCATACTGAGTCATGGTACTATTGTAATTTAAGCAGCTGATTTAATTAATGCCTGCTCTTTTAATAAAACTGGGTAGAGTTCATTTCGAGCTTTGTTTAATGCCTTGGTTAAAAGGTTCTCATTAAATTTATTTTGAATAATTCTTGAAGAAATTGTGGAATGGCTTTACTTTTAACGCTGCTGGATCTCCATCTGCACCTTTTCCAGGACTGGTTTAAGGGAACTGACCCTGTAGAAGTCAAGGGATGTAACACCAGACAAATAGAGCTTTCTACCACACCTCATCCTCCAGTGAGGGCTTCCGGAAATTCTTATTCCAGCAGCGCCCCAAGAACCTCACTCCCACTAGCAACAGAGAAATTTCACCCGCACAATTCTCCGCTAACACCAGCAGAGTGGTTTGCACCTCCCACCTTCACCTTCTCACTAGCAGCGCATTCCCAGCCCACTTCTGCAACTTTTTCTGGAGTCACAATGGAGCCCAAATTCCTAAATTCTCATCCTCATTAAACCTGCTACAAATGTCAACATTTATGAACAATTTATCATGCATCAGATCATTTATCCGTTATGACAACCCAGTAAACAAGCAATAGAGCTGGCTTCATATCTATTTTAAAAATGAAGAAACTAAGATTCAAAGAAATTGAACATCTTGCCCACAAGTCACATGGCCAGTAAGTAATTGAGCGCTGAAGCAAAACTAGGGGTCTTTTGCCCCCAGTCATGCAACATGTATCATACAAAAAGTTAAAAATAAAAATAAAAACAATCAAGGCCCATAGTGACTAAATTCCCAAAGATGACTAAGGAGTACTAAGCAGTGACTAATAACAATTTTTTCATTTCAGCTCTTTAACAAACATATTCTTTGTTTGTAGCAAGTACAGAATTAGCTAATGCGTAGGCACTAACAGGTTTTTATTGCCTAGAAGTTCAAACTCATTTTAAAACCCTAACCATTTTCTAAAAAATCATTTTCTCATTGATTATGCCTCAGAAGAGCGCTTTTCAACCGGTGTGCTGCAAGAATTTTTAAAACATGCAATACTGACTACTAGGGGCACTGACCTCTTTTCCCTTAAATTGTCAAATAAAAAAATGACAACAGCCAACACAACAATAACCATTCAGTGTGAATGAATCAAAATTATACCTTCTTTTGTTTGTCAGATCAGCAAAAAATATTTTTTTTTGGTGTGCTGCAGAATTTTAGCAATTAGTTTATGTGGGCCGCGATATGAAAAAGCTTGAAAATCGCTGCCTTAAAAGAAGGTCATCCCAGCCTCGCCTTGCCCTCCAGAGATATCAGTCATCTAAAAATCAGGTGAAAGTCACCTTTATGTCCAGAGGATGGTTGGATTTAGAACTATTCCTTGAAAGATGCTTATCTATTTTTAAAACAAAAAAGGGGGATAAAATAGTATAGTCCATCTATCACCTTTTATTGTTTCACTGACCTCAAAGACCTTCCAAAATTCTCAACTAATGACATGTCTGCATTACTGTAAAGAAATGGAATCTGAACTAGAAACAAGGGTCAGTATACAAATACTCCTACAGAAAAGGAGAGTTAACAATATTGAAACAACTGGCTAGCCGTTTTGAAAAACTATAAAATTTGATCCCTAACTCATTATTCAAAATAAATTTCAAATGGATCAAATATTTCAATCTAAAAAACCATAAATAAAAAATGTCTTTTTTCATAATCTTAGAGGACTTCTAACATGACAAGAAACTAAAAGTAATCAAATATGTGACTACATAAAAACTAAATGTGGCAAGACATACCATAAGCAAAGTCAAAAGAAAATAGCTAGTTAAAAAATACACTATACAATAACCAGAGGATTAATTTCCTTAATAGAGAACTCTTTCAAAAAAGAAAAGAAAAATAATAGCCACCAAATAGGGAACAAAAATGGACAGAGGATATGAATAGGGCTTTTAAAGAAAAACATATATAGTCAATAAATATATTTTAAAAGTTCCCTACCTCACTTATAATTTATGAGAACCAATATATGCTATGTGTTTTTCACCCATCAAATTGCAAGTTTAAAAAAAGACTGGTAAAGCACATTGGCAAGAGTATGGGGTAACAACACAGATGGGAATGTAAATTGGTGTAACATTTTTATTTATTTATTTTTTAAAATATATCTTTATTGATTTCAGAGAGAGGAAGGGAGAGGGGGAGAGGTGAAACATCAATGATGAGAGTCATCATTGATTGGCTGCCTCCTGCACGCCTCCAACTGGGGATCAAACCCGCAGCCCAGGCATGTGACCCGACCAGGAATTGAAACCATGACCCTTCAGTGTGCTGGCTGGAACTCTAACCACTGGGAAATACCTACCAGGGCTCAGCAATTTTTTTAATGAAATCAAAATATCTTGCATTTCTTTTATCACACACCTGTATCAGCAGTGTGGGCTGCCCATACAGCACATGCAATAAGAGAATTAGCCTTATTACCATTAAACTTTTACAACATCATATGATCCTATTTTTAAACCAAAAGAGAGATTTTCTGGTAGAAATATTAAAAGATTTCATGTAAAAAACTAAAAATACCCCAAAAGATTTCATGTAGATTATAATTCTTAATTGATTTATTATATAGCAGAGAATTGTAAAGCTACCTAAGGATCTAGGACAGGAACATTGCCAGCACCATCAGTGAGAAGACAAAATAATACCTTAATGAACCTAATGCTACATATTGTAAACAGTGCTTCACATTTGCTCTCCTTTCTTTTGCAAGAGGAAATCTAAGCACTGGCAGGCTATAAGTCCCCATCCACGTATGTAGGCAGTCAGTCAATGACTACATATACAGTAAGACTTCAAGCCCTATCTTCTCACTTCCTCCTGGCCTTTCCAATTTTGTCTTCCTATCCATGAAAACAATATACAAATGCATTTGTACTACCCGACCACCCAGCAATCCTCTCTAAAAGTAAACAAAACACCATACACATAATCTATACGGTCTTAAACTCCATGCCTTTGCAAACTCATACATTCTTCTGGCCTAAAAGCCCTCCCCAATCTCTTCTTCAAAGGCCAAACTCAAATTCTACTTCTGTGAGACTTCCTTCTATTCTAAAGCAAGGAACACCTCACCCTGTTAGTCTCCTATAACTTACTTAACTCCTATCTATAACATTGGGCTGCTTTGTTTTAGTGTCTTATTTTTCTGAACTACTAGCAAACCTGGTACACTGCCTTATACATACATAGATCAAAGGTGCTTAATGACACTAGACTAACCTGTAAGCTGCAAGGCATAGTAACCAGACTTTAATATCAGATGCACGTGTTGTATGTAAGGGCATAATTAAATGAGAGCTAAGACCAATTCTTATTCTAAGAGCCTAGAATTCCAAGATTTATCTTTTGATAAAGTTATTAAAACTAGATTCCAGAATTTCCTTTTTTTAAAAAATTACTAATTTTAGGGAGAGAGACACAGAGAGAGAAATACCGATTTGTTGTTCCACTTACTAATGCATTCAATGGTTGCTTCTTGTATGTGTCCTGACTGGAGATGAAACCTGCAACCCTGGCATATCAGGAAGACTGCTCTAAACACCTTAAGTTACCTACCTAGCCAGGGCCAAGAATGTTCTTGATAGAACAATAAAAAGATTTAAAAATACAAGCTCTTTCCTCAAACATTTTATCCATACATATTTCTTGCAACTACACCTTAAAACACTGCCATAAAGTGGACTGTATAATATTTTCCCCATTCAAATATCATTATGATTTATGATTATATTCCTGTACCAGGTCTTGGCCACACATAGAGATAAAACCAGGAAGAGTATCTCATTAGAAGCAAAACATATCATAGACCTCCTTTTCTTTCAAAATAGTCAAGTTATTCTTCAAGTCCCATTATTTAAGACTGAACGTACCCATTATGCCTGGAGAAAATTGTACCCAAGTGATTTTTTAGCAGTTCTCCTAAAAGACAGATTTGCCTCAAATACATTCCACCCCAGGAAAAAAATAATCATTGACAATACTTGGTTGGCCCTGTTAGAATCTGAAACCTTTTTGGGCTGATTTTTTAGCATAATTCTTTTTTGAAAAAGTTTTAAAAGCTGTCAAAGAAAGTATCA